CGCCGGGGCCGCCGGGGCCGCCCCGGCTTCCTCGTCTTCCTCGGTGGCGGCGGCAGCGGCTCCCGGCCAGTGCCGCGGTTTCCTTTCCGCTCCAGTATTCGCTGGGACACATTCAGGGCGGGCGGCAGCCGCAGCGGCGGCAGCTGCGGCAGCGGCGGCGGCGGCCTCCAGCTTTGCATACCCGGGGACCTCTGAGCGCACCGGCTCTGCCTCATCGTCATCGTCTTCGGCTGTGGTTGCTGCGCGCCCAGAGGCTCCCCCAGCCAAAGAGTGCACAGCGCCTGCACCCACAGCGGCCGCTGCAGCACCACCGGGCGCTCCAGCGCTGGGCTACGGCTACCACTTCGGCAACGGCTACTATAGCTGCCGTATGTCGCACGGCGTGGGCTTACAGCAGAATGCTCTCAAGTCGTCCCCGCACGCCTCTCTGGGAGGCTTCCCGGTGGAGAAGTACATGGACGTGTCAGGCCTGGCGAGCAGCAGTGTACCAACTAACGAGGTGCCCGCACGAGCCAAGGAAGTGTCCTTCTACCAGGGCTACACGAGCCCCTACCAACACGTGCCTGGGTATATCGACATGGTGTCCACCTTCGGCTCTGGGGAGCCTCGGCACGAGGCATATATCTCCATGGAGGGCTACCAGTCCTGGACGCTGGCCAACGGGTGGAACAGCCAGGTGTACTGCGCCAAGGACCAGCCACAGGGGTCCCACTTTTGGAAATCATCCTTTCCAGGTAGGGACAATGGAGAAAAGGGGAAGACAACCAGGGACGGGAAAGAGGAGAAAAGAACTAGGAGTGTACTTCCCTAATTGGAAGTAGATGCCTGTGCTGCTAACCTGATCAGGGTTAACCCAGTGGAAGTTTGTCCAGTTCTTCTGAAAGCTGTAAAATCTTCCTCTGATTTAAACCACCTCCCTCACAATCCTTTCCTTCGTGTGTGCGGTGCAAGTGAGTTTTTCTCCTAAAGTTGAGAGTCTCTGGGTGCCCTTTGCTAAGGACTGTCTTTCTTCTGAAGAGGCCTCTTTCCTAAGAGGTGTTACAGAATTCCGCCCCCACTTTTCAAGGACTGTCCCCAGGGTAACTACTAAAGCTTCTTAAAGCGCTCAAACTCCAAACACAGGGGACCTAGGAATCAAAGGTTAAGCAAAATATCTGAATTTGTGTGCATGTGTGTTTGTGTGTGATTGAATGTATGCAACTGGCATTTGTAGAAAAACTGTCCTATGAGCGTCCCCAATAACCAGGCCATAAAATCACCGGCTTGTTAAGATGCCGGATTGAGAAACTATGATGATCCATCAAATTAGCCTTTGTTTTGAAGTACAAATAGACTTTCTTTAATAACGTGTAAAAAAAGTCTGTAAATAATAATAAAATGTAAACAATCTGTTTTTTTCCTTCTACATCCCTCCAAGTGCTCATGTGTGCATGTGTGCACGCGTGCGCGCGCGTGCATGCACACACACACACACACACACATACACACACACACACAGTTCCCAGCTAAGTGCTCCAAATATCCCAGTCTAATTTTCCCCATGCTGTTGTTTGTACCAGGGGATGTGGCTTTAAATCAGCCGGACATGTGTGTCTACCGACGGGGAAGGAAGAAAAGAGTGCCCTACACCAAACTGCAGCTCAAAGAACTGGAGAACGAGTATGCCATTAACAAGTTCATTAACAAGGACAAGCGGCGGCGGATTTCAGCTGCCACGAACCTATCCGAGAGACAAGTGACCATTTGGTTTCAGAACCGAAGAGTGAAGGACAAGAAAATTGTCTCCAAGCTCAAAGATACTGTCTCCTGATGTGGGCCAAGTTGGCCACAGACAGTTTAAATGCTTTCAAATGTCGCCAAAAGACCATTGGAAAGACTTGAATATGTATTTAATTCCCCTCCCCTATTCCCTAACAATGATGGCAAATTTTGTGAATTGTTTCTCTCTTTTGACTCTTATCTGGCTCCCAAACCTTTTGCTTCCCAACTTGACTTTGTAGTTCTGTTTCTACTTGTTTATTATTGGTTTTGTTCTTGTCTAGGCTTGTTTTTAAATGATGTTTTTAAATGTTCTGTTTCTCCCTCCAGGCCAGTATAAAGGACTTGAGTATTTCTTAATAATCCCCAAAATGAATTTCAGAAGTGCCATTCTGATTTAAGGTCTTAATTTTTTAAAATCACTCACTTTATCTGTGTTTCCAGCACTGATTATCTTCATAACCCATTAGGTTAGAACATTAGCAGTCATTCATATCCTGTGATTAGTTAATTGAATCATTAGTTCCCAGCAGTTGCCCTGAGGCAAGTAGAAACAGCTCTCCGCAGTTAGTGCCCCCAGGGTCACCCAGAAAGTCTCAAAATCGGAGGCTAAAGGCACTGTGATGACTTCAAAAGCAGCTACCTTATTAAATAGTGTTTGTATCAATATGAAAATGAGGACAATCTTTCCAACTTTGGGTCTTACTTTCTGTTTTAGTTGTATACTTGTAACACACTTTGTAGATTTGGGCTTTTATAATCTTCAATTATTTGAAAATAATATGTCTTCATGGATGCCTTCATTTCTCAAACTCTAGATGCAAATGCTTAAATAACTGCAATTGGTAGAGTGACCCATGATGGTATAAATGCACCCCTTTCCTTGGACTCAGGAATATGCAACTGGCCTCAATCCCTGGAAAGAGTCTAACCAATGTGGCCATGGGTGGGAACTTTTATTCAGAATCCAATGAAGAACTTAACTGTCTGAACAAATGCATTGAGACTCCCACAGAGCTTTCGAACATCTAACAAATTTTTAAAATGTGTAACTGTAAGGTCCAAGAAGAAAAGAGTGATATTTCTGAAACTGATGCAAAATAACTACTTTTAAAGTGCTGCATATTTATACAACTGAGAGATTATTTTTTTAGATGCAATGACTGTGAGCTGGAACACATAAAGCAGTGCCTCAGGCATTTAAATTCACTTTTTTTTTTTTTTACTCCTAGGGAGATGCAAATAAACAGAACTTTCTTGTTTTCTCGAGTCTTTATACTTTTTTTTCTTTTTTCAAGTTTGTTTTGCCTCTAGAAACTGTTCTTATTTATTATAAAATCTTCTTCTCCTGAACACTGTGATGTTATCTATAAATGAAGGAAACTCAGCACCAGTTCTGGTCTCTGAAAACTCCATGTTCTACTTCTGCACGACCCCTCCCCTTAACATAAGTAGTGATTTTTTTTTAATAAGGATATCATTTGCAATGTCTAAAATGGTATTTTCCCACCCTAGCCTTAAAATTTTCCAATAAAATTTTATTTCTCTTCCATTATAAATTTATTTTAATATTTTTATTTATTAATTTACTTTGGTTTCATACTGGGGATTGAACCCAGGGCACTCTACCACTGGACTACATCCTCAATCCAGTTTTACTTACTTAAAAATCTATATATATATAGTACTGTGCCTGGCTATGGGAAATCTCACGTGGAAATTTTCAGCCCAGAAAAGCTGTTATAAATACCTTTGATAGGAAGGTCTTGAAATTATAAAGGCATATCCATATTTGGAAATCGAAAAAGGAACATTTCTTATCCCTCGTCCTTTTCTCAGGCAGTCTATGCACAACACTTAACAACTAGAAACTAGAAACACGATTATACATTCTAACTTCTAGACACAATTTTTAGGAATTGGGAACTTTCTCTTTGAGGCCTTTTTGCCATTCAGGGAAATGGCCGGTGGAAAATTGGGCACTCTTCCTTGTTAGCTCCTAACAAGTGGTGGCGAACTTTTTGATATGCAAGTTAGTTAAACACGGATTTTTAAAATCTCCCACAAATGTAAACTTCTCTGTCAGGGTTTGGTTCTTCGAGAAAACGCAGGGACCTCAAGTTAGGAACTACTTTCGTTTTCTCTGGCCCAGCTTGATTATTATTTTTACCCCAAGTATTACAGCCGATTGCAGGGCCTACTTCGTTATAAGAAAGAAAGAAAGATAGACTCTCCATTCAGTATATAGAATCACCCCTGAAAATAGTCGCCGACAGTACACTTTGGAAAGGGTCACTGAAATTTTCAATATTTTTCTCTCAAGATATATTTCATCAGAAACTGGCCAAATTTTCCTTCTTCCAATCGGTGTCCTCTCCTTCCCTTCCTCTTTTTTTTTTTAATATGTTCAAGACCGCGCTGCGTTTCCTAGGTCCATTTCTCGGCTTTCCCATCGTGAGTAGAAGGTTTGCCTCCACGTTTTCTTTCCATTTGAGGTTTGCAAGTCAGTTTCCCTCCGCCTAAGAGAAATGGGAGGTTGACTGAAGATTAAAATTGCACCCAAATGCTCTCTGGTAGAATTTGGATTGACGGCTAAATCAATAACAGATGAAGGCTTTCTTATTTTTATGTGTTCCTTTTATATTCCGAATTGCGGAGGCAGGAGAGGAATGGGTAAGTGGCCAAGGCCCTAGAAGCGAGGCCCACAGGGAGCCCGGAAGGCAAAGGGAGTTTGAGAGGCTGTTACTACGGTAAGAGACAGAACCCTCTGGGAGAGTTACTCTGAAACCTGGCACATTTTTTGCTCCGCTGGTGGGGTTCTAGGATCCGCGTGTAAGAGTGGTTCAAGAAGCGAAGGAAGCGTTGGAGACGCAAGGCCAGACAAAGAGGCGGCCGCAATGCAGCTTCAAGTCTGGCAGCCTGCTGGGTCCCTTGGTTTTGCTCTTTGAATCAGCCTCGCTGCGACGATCTCTGGCTTTACGAAGTTATCTGCAGGGCCTGGCAGCGGGCCATGACCGGGAGGATTGGCGACCCCAGGCAGGCTGCACCGCCCTTCACTGTTGATCTTGACCGTGCGGAAGCGCCTCGCCAGGCGTGGAGCGCGCTCGCCATCTCCTGGGCGGTCGGCGGCATTGGCAGAGCTTACCGTTTAGCTCCGCCAAAAGCTCCCTTCCCATTCTCTCGCTCATCTGCCTAGCCTCCCCCCACCACCTCCCCCTCGGTTCTTCAGCTCCTAGCTCTCTATGGCTTTGCTTGCCAGCCCTCGAAAGTCATAAACCTGGGGGATGATGTTGGGTGACTGGGCAAGAAACAATAGAGGAAGATTGGATGTTACAGTCTTTTCTGTTTCTCGCTTGGTTGTTTTATGCATTGAGTCCTAAGAGGCAAATAGCCATTCTAAGACTGTCCCAAGAGTCCAAAGGGGACACCCCTGGGTTTGGGAATACAAGGAAGTCGCTGTGCATAGAAGACCAGAGATGAGGTGACTACAGGCACTCTTGGAACTGGAGCTTTCGGCCTGAGGAGGCTGCACCTCCTGAAAAACAGGGCGAGTCCCCCAAGATGAGAATTGTTAGGGACCCAATACCTGGTTCCCTTAGGCCTTTAGTTACAGGGTTTACAGCTTGGGCTTATCCCTATTTCCCAAAAAAAGGACGGCCCTAAGAAAATTCTGCCACGCCCTCAAGGAGCCCCCGGATTTCCCCACCCCCATCTCCCCGCTCACCTCCCAACACCACCTCCCCTCCCCATCTCCTCACTTCCCTATCTCCCCACCTCCATCCCCCACCCCCGCCCTACTGCAGGAGGAAGAGGCCGACTGCTTTCTCCAGAGCCGCCCAATTGGTCGCCATAACTCACACAATAAAGTCAGCGCGGTGGTCAGCCTTGCCCTCTGGCGGCGCCTGTGTGGTCTCGGTGCTGGAGCTGGCGATCTAACCAGTTCCAGCTTGGCTCGGGACTGCGGGGCCTGCTGCAGGTTGGGGCTGGCGCCCACCACGGGGTATCTAGGGAGTTTTTGATACCCGATGTATGAGAAGACCCGTAGTCTTCCAGCTAGACTTGACAAGAGGGCCTGCAATGGGGCTGCGCATACTGTTCCCCGCGAGGAACTGCTGCCCTTCCCGCTTCTGTTTGCCAGACCGGTGAATCCGCCCGCGGCCCGCGCCCCTGGAAGCACAGAGGCAAGAAACACCGCTAGCTGGTAGCCTCCATGCGCCCTGCTCTTCCCTGGCCAGGTGCCTTGGCTCTTCTGCCTTTTCCCACTTGGTGGTGGGAGTTTGTCCTGCACTGTCTACCACGAGGCGGATAAACAGTTTGGAGTTCTGGTTTGCAGGGCATAGTTGCCAAGGTGACTCCTGGCGATAAAAGGAATGCAGACTTTGGCTAGGATTGGCTACTCAAGATGCCGGATTCCCTGGTAGCAGTCTCCAGGGACCTGGACAGCAACTTCTCTAGGAGCAGAGTTCCTGGCTATGGGGACACACACCAGGACTGTTGTGAAGCATCCTTCCTTCCAGGTGCCAAATTTGGGCAGAGTTTGTGATACATTTTCTCTGTGTTTGGTAAAGCTCTCAGGTTGTCTGCGGCCTGGGACCCAGGGCTCAGGCAATGAATCTTTGCTTCCAGAATCCCTGGGGGGAGGCCTCTTGAGAGATCCTTGTATATTGGGATAAGAGAGGCAATGCTCAGATGCAGGGACAGAAGTGGCCGCGCCAGACCGCACTCTCTCCAGACAAGCCCAGAGGTGCCTGTTACTGAAAATGTTAAAGCTGCAACTTAAAGCCCGTAGAAGCAAGCCCGGCCCAGGTAGCCAGCGGAAGACAGGGTGGCAAAGCCAATCAAGATTAGGAAGGGTCCCAAGGGACTTGGGCAAAGGCACCCTCAGCTCAATGTCTCCAGCTTCTGAAGCCAGGCCCGGAAACTCGCAGAAGCTTCGCCTTGCTCAACATGATTTGGCTCTGCCCGCAGCCTCGTCCTTCGCCATCGAACATTACTGGTGTTATCATAATACCCTGAAGGGGGGGAAAACGGGTCGGGGGATGTAGGCGGTGCTGAAATGACCGACTTTGAAGAACCTGCAGGCAAAGTTTCGTCCAATCGTCTGAGCCTGTCCTCTTATTCCCGGTTGTAACTAAATACTGTGGCGAACGCAGCCGAAGCCCTTTGTTGGAGATGTGTGAGCGCAGTCTCTACAGAGCGGGCTATGTGGGTTCGCTTCTGAATCTGCAGTCGCCCGACTCTTTCTACTTTTCCAACCTGCGGCCGAATGGCGGCCAGTTGGCCGCGCTTCCCCCCATCTCATACCCGCGCGGCGCGCTGCCCTGGGCCGCCACGCCTGCTTCTTGCACTCCGGCGCAGCCTGCCAGCGCTACTGCCTTTGGCGGCTTCTCGCAGCCCTACCTGGCTGGCTCTGGGCCTCTTGGCTTACAGCCCCCGGGGGCCAAGGATGGACCCGAAGAGCAAGTCAAATTCTATGCCCCGGATGCGGCCTCTGGGCCAGAGGAGCGCGGCCGAACGCGGCAGCCCTTCGTCCCTGAGTCTAGCCTGGCCCCTGCAGCAGCTGCTCTCAAAGCAGCCAAGTACGACTACGCGGGTATGAGCCGTGTGGCTCCAGGCTCAGCGACCCTGCTCCAGGGTGCCCCCTGCGCCGCCAACTTCAAGGAGGACACCAAGGGCCCGCTCAACTTGAACATGACAATGCAGGCGGCGGGCGTCGCCTCTTGCCTGCGACCTTCGCTGCCCGACGGTAAACGGTGCCCATACTCCCTGGGCCGGTTTGGGCCGGGATGGGAGGTGGGATGCAGGGAGGAGTTGTAGGGGGAGGGGAACCGCCGAGGGCGGGCGATCGACTGGGAGCCGGCAGAGCTGACTTAGGTTGGGGCTGTGTTGCAGGCCTGCCGTGGGGGTCGGCCCCTGGGAGGGCCCGCAAGAAGCGGAAACCCTACACAAAGCAGCAGATTGCGGAGCTGGAGAACGAATTCCTTGTCAACGAATTCATCAACCGACAGAAGCGCAAGGAATTGTCCAACAGGCTGAACCTCAGCGACCAGCAGGTCAAAATTTGGTTCCAGAACCGGCGTATGAAGAAGAAGCGCGTGGTGCTGCGTGAGCAGGC